CATTCAATTCATCGTTTTCGCTTCTTACTTGTCAAAGTCTCGCTGCTTTTTGCTATAGTATCGTGAGTTTGAGTGGGGATGTTAGATATAATATTATTGTATAATATTTAGTTTCCTTTTTTGTTTACTTTATTTTGTAGTATATAAACTGATTTTAATTTATTTTGCCCTAATTTTTGGTGGTTCTTACAATCGGTTTTTCTGCCTCCATCTCTTGGTTCTTCTCTTTTGGTTGATTTATCGAATTAGTTTGTATTATTCACAAGGCAAACCAGAGTAAAGATCAGATTTCCAATTTCATCCCAACATACTCATATTCTTGTTAACACAACAATGACGACATTTCTTGGACAAACCTTCACCCGAGCTACTTTATTTCTTCCGTTTTTTCAGCAATACTCACAAGCAATACTAGATCAGTCAAAATCACCAAAATGCATCAGTAAACAAAACAGATAAAAAATGTAAAGAGTCGAAACACAAGGGAACCAGCAGGTAAGTCGAAATTCTTGAAAAATAAGTCGATTTAAGTGAGGGAAATTTTTTTGTACAATGAGTCATCCTCAACATCCAAATAACTCTTCTATTCTGGATTTTGTTTTTGTCTTGACAACATTTAGGAGGAGTCAAAAAAACATTCAGAACCAGAATCCAACCCCATATGTACCACGAGCTTAAACCAAGTAAACAAGTAGAGGAGCAATTCTAGCCAGTCGAAAGGATATGTAAGAAATAATTTCAAAGGCAGCTTGATGCGCTCTCTGAAAATCTTTCCCCAAGATTTCAAATGTTGGCAGACTGTGATGGAAACTTAGGGTGGTTATGTTCACCTTCGTAAGTAACAATCAGCATTGAAGGATCATCCAAGCATTTCTCGACATGTTTCCTCGCCGGACAGCCTCTCATGCTACTACATTTGTAGTATGCCCTGCAAAAATGCAGAACTAGACCCAGCAAAACCATGAAACTACTAAGTCATGCTTCAACGGGTAGGACCATCTAATACAAGAATGTACTTCCATGTTCCAACTTTAGGTTAGGAACTTAGGAGCAATGCGTGCTAGTTATTATATAATGTGATATTTGACACAATTCTTCATCGAATGTGATATTTTCATCGTGGCAACCTACCCACCCCCATCAAAGAAAAGAAATCTCGACGATAGAGAAACTAGCCCATAAGACAGCAAA